AGTATATAGAGGAAACAAGGGGGTGAGTCCAAAACACTCACAAGCAGCAACAGGAGATCAGAAAGGTCTTGGGGAGTCATCACTCCTATGAGAAGACACAGCCTGGATTCAAGCACACACACTGAGAAAACTGTCAGGGTCCCTCCTCCTTTTCAGAATAACCCCTTGATTTTGTCGCAAAGCAGTTGCATTTGGTTTTACAGCTCCTGCTTGCAATAACTTGCCCAATTTAACTTCTATGTGCTGATTTTAAAGGGACACGGTCTACTAAAAACAAACCAGAGTTGCAAAATTAGTCTGTCTGCTGTTCTTCCTCACATCTTGACTTCTATTTCTGCTCCTGCTGCTCACCAGCAATCTGCCTGCCAGCAGGTGAATCACTTCACAGGGCTTCTGCTTCCCTTCAAATTCCTCAACTATTTAAATAATAAAGTTGCAGAGTAATAGCTGTCTTTAAATACAACGTGGGTCTGTGCTCGACACGTGCTGCTGTACGATATCACTGCTAATTGTCATCTTGGGCTTCAGCATGTGCACGTTCACATGCTTCTGAGACTCAGCATCTGTCATTACAACATCCACTTTGGTTTTATATTTTAAACTAGCCCGCACCGGAACAAAGAAATCCGTGTGTCCAAAAAAACAATGCCAACGCACTTGTAACTCCTGCAGAACCTACAGCCATACGATGGTGTGTCTGAGGGCTCGGGCTCATGCAGAACAAATGTAATTTCTTAATTATTCACTGCTGTTGAATGACGGCGGGGTGAGCATGGCTCATTATACCTGTGCATAACACTTTAAGCCTGCTCATGTCCAAAGTGTACCGATGAATACGTGTTCATCTGATGGCATCATCTTAATTCCATCTTTAATTATTCAAGGAAAAGTAGGCAGAAAGTTTCCTTTGGATTGGTTATATCCCAGCAATTGACTGTTACTCTGGTGATGCCATGAACTGCAATCGAATAACCAGCAAGACGGAGAGAGCACAGAAAACAAAAAGTGCCAAATGCAACCGAATAACCAGCAAGATGGAGAGAGCACAGAAAACAAAAAGTGCCACACTGGCAGGTGGCACTGAATGGAAACATGAGCTGCTCACCCCAAGACATGACCAGTGTTCCTCAAATTAGCCCCTCAACTCACGTGTATGCACAGGGATAGAGACGTATGAGAGACCTTAGGGCATAAATAGCAGCGGCAGAGCACCTGGATCTGCAACTCTTTAGAACAAGTTTCTGTGTTCATGCCCAAGTCACCTATAGCTCTTGGTGAGGGAAGGTGGGGAGACTTGAGAACATTTCAGAGGAAGAAAGAAGACAAAGCAAGTGTTCATGAGCCTCTCTCACCATGTTCTCTAACTATACAGGAAGATTATCAAGCAGACAGTTCAACAGGTGACTTGACTGTCATCTGTGAAAACCTCGGTGGCCCTGGACTCAGAAATCATAGAATCACAGGATGGTTTGGGTTGGAAGGGACCTTCAAGACCACCCAGTGCCACCTCCTACCATGGGGGCAGGGACACCTCCCACTAGCCCAGGTTGCCCAAAGCCTCATCCAGCCTGGCCTTGAACCCCTCCAGGGATGGGGCATCCACAGCTTCTCTGGGCACCCTGGGCCACTGCCTCACCCCCCGCACAGGAAAACATTTCTTCTCACATCTCACCTAAATCTCCCCTTTTACAGCTTAAAAGTGAAAAAGTATGCAGGGTGGTAGGACACTGTAAGAGCAGGAAGGATTTACAGGCATGCAGTAATGGTTACATCACATTTTTTTCCCATCTGCTGAGCACACTTTCCTCAAGCACAATCTGCTGACGCTCAGCTCATGTGACAAATGCTCGTTATCATCAAATGTGACAAACACTCGTTCCAGCGTGCAGAAGTCCTGCTGTGCATCAGTGCGCGGTGGCAATCCATCAGGGCCAGCGGGAAGCCAAGGTGCTCCCAGCAGCTTCCCAGCCGCCATGCACACACCGTGTCGATCATCGCGGTGAATGGCAAGCCACCGCGCACAGATGGTCCCCAAACCCTCGCGAACCCCATAGGTGATGTCCCTGAGCAACCCAAGCTGGAGAGCACATCTATGGAAAGGAAAAACCTTCCCAACTTTGCTTATGTAAGTCAATCCGTCAAAGGGAGCCTGACAAATCACGGAATAAAAGCCTGAACCCACGGAGCCAAATCACTGCTGGAACGAGGCGGGAACCCACAGCTGCTGTGAGCCTCAGCTGTTCTCCTGAGTCACCTCTCCCGTCAGTAACAGCCAAAACAAAAACCAAAAACTTCTCACACTGCTTACAGACCTGATAAACGCAGAATAGCCAGACTGCCAGCAATTTTACATTATGATCCCATAATTTACAGCTGAACTTAAATTTGCTTGTAGCCACATTAATTACAACAAATATTGCGTATGTTTGCCACCTTACAGACAGTTCTGTACGTCTCTCCTTTGTTTCCGTTAGACAGGCATCTCCATTACCTGCCTCCATCTTTAAATTAAAAACATATGGACAAGCTAGGACTGCTCTACACCAAAACACAGTACCAAGTTCAGGCTCTGATTCTCATTACTTTGGATTTATCCTGGATTACTTTGGATTTACAATTTATATAACTTCTACAAAGTTACACCAAGTGAAGAACTTCCATATCAGATGATGTCATACCAAATGAGAAAATTTTCTCTCTGAGTCGTGGACACATCAGTCCTTGTCTTTAATGAGTTGTTGAAGTAACTACTATACTACACATATACTATATAATATAGTAGTAACTACTATATTATACATATACTATATGTATTTAATCTTGCCCTTGATGATGGTTGCCATCAAGTTCTTAATGAGAAAGTGTGAATCTTTATAATTTTTCAGGCTTGTTTACTTTGGAATTCACTCCAGAAGAGTAATTCCTGTTAATCTCAGAAGACAACCTTCTCCCAAAATAACCATGACATTTATAAGGTGGAAATAATTAATTCTTGTTGCAAAATTAGATCATGATAACCTGTCCGCAGTTTGGAGCAGTTATGCTATTTGATGTTCCTCCATTACTGTAAACAAACTTCTGTTGCAGATGAGGTCCAACATGGACAAAGACTGGCTCCAACAGCAAAATTATCACTCTGACAAATGGGAGCAGTAACAGCTCTCATCCTCTGTTCTCATGGGTGAAGGTGGATGAGTTATGACCAGTGTTGAGATGAAAGTCTCTCCCAACTCCCAGGTACACCTCTCCATGTCAGACAGGTTTTTTTGCCTCTTCTGGTATGAAAATCAGAGCAACTAATGAGGGACAGACCTCACATTGAGATTTATTTTTTTTTCCTGTGTCAAAATTAGCAAGAGAATAAATTAAGGGCTTCCAAATAATTTTGCCTTTGGAGCGGACTGTAATTCCCCTCCTGCCAGTGGCAGCTTTAAAGCCGAGCTGTGGATTTGCTTTGCAGGGGACTGTGCAGAGTCATGGTACATTCCACAGTTTTGAAGTCCCTGCTGTCAACTCAGAAATCCAGAAAAATGAAGGCAACTCCTCGGAATAAAGCCATGAGGACGGAAATAATGTGAAATGTGCAAGTGCAAATAAAATTCATCGTTCATTTTAGACGGACTCAGCATGTTAATGCCTCAACTGTTTTGTTCATTTGCTACCTGTTTTCAGTGCCCTGAGGCATATGCTAGTAAGGCATTACCCAGCATAATCTAACCTGAAGTCTTCAAATGTTACAACATTCGCTGCAGAAAACACTTCTCTGAGATTTCCAGTTATTTAGATATCTAAGCTGAAGACTTTGCTCTTTGGCATGAGGTTTATAAACCATTCCAGACACATCCTCTGCAGCTCCCGGACACAGAGCCTTTAGGAGAGTTAAAATCTAGAATGTCCATCCTCCTGGAAACCAGCATTCCCAATCGCGTTTCTTGCAGCCAACCATTGGCACGAGGCTCTCGGGATACATTGGAGTGACACAGCCACAAAGAGAGTGAGAGACACAACTGACTGTTTGCTCGGTCAGGGACAAGTCCAAAGACAGGAGCCAACAGCCAAGAAATGCCACAACATGGAGACAGCTTGGTCAGAGACTACAGCTAAATGCTTAGTTATCATTCAACACAACTGCTTGAATATTTTCATTTGAACCAAGTAAATCTGAAAGAAAACATTTTTGTTGAAATCAATGTAAGAAATCAATGCTGAAATCAATGTAAGAGTATATCAAATCAATTATACAAAATAAATCATTTAAATTAACATGGGAATAGAGAAAGGTTGATTTTTTTCCTAATATATTGCATTGACCAAAAACAATTAGCTTTCAACAAAGCATTGAGAGAAGTATTTGAATACTTGTATCCTGCCTTGACCCAGATGCCCCTTCCTCTGACCTTGCTGCCGTATCTTCTTTGAAACCTATCCATAACAATCACAGAATCATTAAGGTTGGAAAAGACCTCAAGGATCATCAAGTCCAACTGTCAACCCAACACCCACCCAACCCACTAACCCATGTCCCGAAGCACCACATCCACACGTTTCTTGAACCCCTCCAGGGATGGTGCCCCCCCCACGCCCCTGGGCAGCCTGTTCCAATGCCTGAGCACTCTTTCAGTGAAGACATTTTTTTCTAATATCCAGCCTAAACCTCCCCTGGTGCAACTTGAGGCCGTTTCCTCTTGTCCTGTCACATGTTAATTAGAGAAGAGCCCAGCACCCACCTCACTGCACCCTCCTTTCAGGTAGTTGTAGAAAGTGATGAACCTCCCGGACACTGGGGGAAAATATAAATCCTGATATAAAATCCAGAGAGCAATAAATCAAAACTCTTCTTCAAATCCTAACTTTGGTGAGAAAAAAGAAAACACCTGAAAAAGGCTTCTACAACTTGCTCCTTCCACTGCATACGGTCATGGATGTCTTAGGCAAGAGAAGAACATCGAAAGACCATGGAGACACCAAATGAGCAGGGAGGGTCGCTGCTGGATGCCCACCTGTTTTATTCGAGAGGTGGAAGGACACCATCTTGTCAGGGATGCTGCAGACATTCCTCACCGAGGCGATGCAGCTGTAATTCGCGTAGTCCTGAGGTCGGAGGTTCTTCAGCTTCAGGATCTTTGTTTCTCCCTGCGTGGGCAAGAGAGCGCGTTAGGAAGGGACGGAGGCAGAGGAACATGCAGAGATGCAGAAAACACCGAGACTGGCTTTCAGGAGGCAAGAGGAAGATGCAGCGGTGGCTAATTAGAAGTGGATGTTGAAGTTGTCCAGAAAACATATTTTATTTAATTACCCGAAAGAATGCCAGCATAACCTGTAGCCCCACTTAGATATTAATGGCAAAAGAAAAGAAAGCAGCGAGGGGGAAATTGGTTTGACGGAGTCTTTCAAGTTGCAGCGTTATTCGGGATAATATAACTTAAGGTATAATCGACCTGATGAAAAAAAATCACAAGCTACAGGAATCCTGCTGTTTCCCTTTGAAAATGAGCTGCTGATGGGTTTTATTTTTAGCCAGCAAATGATGGAGCTGGGACCTGAACGGGATATGTAATGAAGGCGTTCCTTCAGACACCATCAAGAGAAAACTGGAAAATCTGAGATTTCCACTGCACTGCTATGTGATAAGGGCACCGCAGAACCAGAAACTCAGGAGAAAAAGCAAGTTGCTGAAATACTTACAGAAAATCTTACAGCAGTGTTAGCAACAAGAGCAACAAAAAGTCAAAAGGAGCATTAGGTACAAAATCCTGAGTGCACGGGGATGCTGTGGGGCAGAGCAGGGAGGAAGGAAGCACAGGGAGCACAGCAAAGCACATCGGGGGGTCAGGCGTGAGGATGCGACAGCGTGGAGTGCTGCAAAAACAGCAGATAAATCTATATCCATCAATATCTGCACATTATTCACTCCAGCATTAAAATAACAAACTTCCTCAGGCTTTCAACCTCCTCCTCCAGCTGCATGCTTTCAAGTCTTTGCCTACATTTATAGCGATGAACATCAAAAGAATAAACTTTGGAAAATCTTCATTATCACATGTCCTGTTAAAGCTGAACAACTTCCACTATTATTACAGCTTAAGCAACATATTTAATTTTTTTTTTTTAAACAATATCATGTGCACCAACTGCTCAGGTCTATATAAGCAAAAAAAATCTGGTAGTTTGTGAAAAATGCACATACAGAACTAGCAAAAAAAAAAAAAAGAAAAAAAAAAAAGGAAGAAAAAAAAAAAAAGAAGATAGAGCTAGCCAGACCAGAAAAGAAACAGTCGTTGAAATGAAGCTTGGTAGATGTTTGGAGCACTGGAACCGAAGTGCTTTGTATGTGCAATCAGTTGCACAGAAATTATGTGATTAAAATGAAGCACTTGCTGATTTAGTGTTTGCAAGACCAAGTCTTTGAAAGGCTGTTCCTAAAGATAAAGATCCCACTTGAAGAAAAGGTTTGGCTGGGCTAGAGGAGGTTAGTGGGAACACAGCTACTGAAGTCATCGAGTTCTGGAAAGCGCAACCCATCAATTCATCCTTTAGCTGTGGGCTCCAGAGTGAACTCGTGGGCTGAACTCACAATGGTATGCTGGATCATGTCCCCAGATTGCAGAGACTGATAAAAAATTTATATATTTTCTTTATTGGTTTGGATAATTTGTCTAATTATGGCTAATTGCATAATTATTGTAAATACAGCAAATTTAATCTCGTACTCAGGCTGTGCAATTACAATGTGCCACGAGGATGATGCAAACTCTTAGGGAAAAATTCTGCATCAAGATTTTGGTTTTGAAAAATTTAGTATTTCAAACACTCCCACAGATGAGAATGTGAATGTTTGTTCATTTCTTTTCCCCGTGGCAGCTGAAATAAGTTTGACTCATTAAAAAAAAAAAAAAATCTGTTAGAAGTTCAAGAATTCATTTGTACACGTCTAGTTTTCCAGGTGCCTTCTATGATTTAAGAAAACAAGAAAACCTACGAAAGAAAAACTAGCATTCTTTGTGTACAACACCTTAAATATTTAATTGTGTTACTACTTGTTTTCCTTTACATTTAATTTTAGATTGATAATTCACCTTCAAAGCAACTATCAAAAAATGCCACCTCCACTTCATATCTCTTGATGCTCTGAAGTCAAATCCCCTCTATCCTTCTCCCATCTCTTACCCTAGCACAAGCTGAACCAATTATGCAGAGATGTGCATCAGATCTTTATGACTCTTGAACCTTTAATTACACCTTTTCCTCTTATCAACATATATCAGATCTTGTAGGCACACCGACACGATACATTAATTCAACCTGACCTCCAGTAAATGTAAAAAGGTTATGGATAAGCTTTTGACTATCAACACGACAATCTGATTTATTCATTAATTCAGCTCAGATGGAGGTTCTACAAAGAATGCTCCTAGTAATCTAGAATTATTTTATTTTAAATATTGAATCTAATTTCATGTGATGCATTTGATTATATATGTTCTTATTAGTTGACAAGGAAGGTAATCATCAGCATTTCTATATTAAAATATAAACCAAAAAGTTTCATGTCAAAGGAGGCTCTTACTTTTCAATTAAAACATGTAAAAAACTCCAGTTTACCCACTTGAATCCAAGGAAACAAGCCACAGATTTGCTAAACTGGGTCCGTACATGTTAAATTAAAAATAATCCCATCACATTTAGGAGACCAATAACTTGACTATGTAATCTAATTCTCATCTCTGCAAGGTTCCAGGCTACACATTTCTCAGCAAAATACCAAGCCGCTGTAGCAATATAAAGCTGTCAAGTACAATAAAAAGAAAAAAATGAAGGTGCTTGCAAATCATTAGCTGAAAATTATTTATGAAAGTTGCAGGTTGCTTTCTGCTATGAAGAACAAATTACCAGGCAGTTTTCACCTCTGTCTTTCCTTGTTACTGCTTGAGATTTTCCCAAACATTTTTTTCCTCCTTTTTTCTTTTTGCAAACACCGACACACACATTTTTCCACAGACAATAGGATATGCCACCTTTTTATTCTGAGACTGTATAACTGTGCTAACAATAAATTAATCTGATCTAATCTGACAGACTCTCTTGACGGCTCAGTCTGCCTTCGTGGCTGTGAGCGAGAGTAGGACGACTTAAAAAAGCACTTCTTTCCATTTTTGCCACCTCGTCTTTTAAGTGTGTAATTCTGGAACAAAAAACTTATATTCAAAGAAGTGAAAGGCAGGCTAAAATTAAAAAAAAAAAAAAAGAAAAGAAAAACCCAACACGGGAGTTGCTATAGAGTTTAGCCTTCTTGAAAAGCTTTTTAGGCTGGAACTTCTGTGCAGAATCATTTTGCATTGTATTGGAAAAGATTAGGAAATAGCAGTCAAATCAGGGGTTTGGGCTTGTGGCATCCAAGGAAAATGTTTTCAAAGTGGCTCCGCTCCTGCAGGTAGCACTCATCACGCATCTTCCCATCATTTCCTATTTCATAATTTAACAAAAAATATTAAAAGACATATTTTATATTAGGAAGTGTTCTAATAATGTACGGGTGTCTTGCTGCTGGAGGGCATGGCACTTTCATTCCTACCTGGGTAAAGAAGGGCTCGTAGATCTCCACTCCTTTGTCAGACCCTTGGAGCAACACCTCCTGGCCGCGTCGCCAGCTGTACCGAACGGGAGGGTTGGAGTTGGCGACGCACCTGAGAAACACCGTTCGCTCATAGTAAAACTGCTCTTTCGCTTCCCCAATGCTCTGGTGGACTGTCACTATTGGATCGTCCAAATCTGCAAAGACAGAAAGAACAACCAGGATCAACCTCAGGCTTCGGTTGACTCTACCGTGGTTCTGCCACGGGAAGCGCGTGCATCGCCTTGCGTAGAAATCAACAGCAAAATAAGAAGCCATATGGCTCTAAATGCCACAAACCTACATTTTAGGACTTTTACAGCAGAATTCAGTTTTAGAGTCTTGACTTTAAAGATCATCTAGTTCTACCCCCCGCCACGGGCAGGGACACCTCCCACCAGCCCAGGTTGCCCAAAGCCTCATCCAGCCTGGCCTTGAACCCCTCCAGGGATGGGGCATCCACAGCTTCTCTGGGCACCCCGGGCCAATGCTTCACTGACAATGACAATCATATTTCTGTTGTTTCCACAAATACTCAGGTTTCATCCGTACTGCTTTAGTATTAGGTTCTCATACACTATTTTAATTTAAATGTTGCTTAGACAAAATAGTTTATAAAGCTTTGGAAATAAATAGACAGACTAATTTGCATCCTAATGGCTGGATCCACTGGAACATAGATCATGTGCGTGCATCTGTTTTCCTTTAAAGGAACAATTTAATACAGTAATTTAATGCATATTCTCTTCTTTTAGTTACATGCATTTAACTTCAAGCAGGTAAATTCATCACAGGCTTTAGAGACACACTTCTCTTGATTAAAATACAGATATCATGTAATTACTCCTACCACATCAGCTCAGAGAAAATTAGATCCCCACAACAGAATTCACTCATATTAAAAAAGGAAGAAACAACAATAGCCTTTTGGAATGTGAATACACCTAATTAATTAATTTGGGCTTTATACCATCAGGAACAAGAAGATCCCTGTTTGCGAGGTTCCACCATTGTTTATTATGAGCTTTCTCTGAAGGTACAACTACACTGAAGAAGGAAAAAAAAGAAACAAAACAGGAAAAGCAATGGCTATTTTTACTAAGTACTAGTTAAAACCACTCAACCTCCAAAGAACGTGGGAAACAATCCTCCGGTGAGCTTTAGGGAGAAGTTATGCTACCTGGAGCGTGAGCAGCCAAGGGGAAGTTCCTTTTCTACATCTAGCCCCCATGATCCATAGATACATCCAGGTATCCGGGTGTTTTGGGGGAAGCACCACATGCATGGTCCCATGTCCCTTCCCCAAGGGCCAGTCACACACCACTGTAACCACCACAGTGTGCTGTGTGAGGTGGACCATCATCATAGCAGTTCTCAAAAAATTGGGGAGTGTGATAGCTTTTAAAAACTAGACGTGTGGCAGAGGCACGCGAGATTACCAAAGGAAACCCACAATTAACAAGCTGAATAGATCAGCATGTTTCAAATGTCCACATTGAAAAGCAGTTTGCACTTAAAATTATTCTTTAGATGCTTACGTTTTGATTTGCATAACAAGAATAGAGACTGAAAGCCTCTTGATTAATGAGAAACAAAACCTGTTCCAAAAATTGGAATAATTCAAACAATATCATCTTGTAATAGTGCACGGATTTTAAGTAAATGTTACCTTCATTCTACTCCACAAAACATTTAATTTAATATCAGAGAAACAAATTATGAAAGTGTTGCTCCAAATTAGGATGGCATTTTCTAATGAGATTTCATTTTTTGTTTTAAAGGTTATTTTAAATCACAGTAGCATTTGAAAAGGGATGAGACTGCTGAAACTTTGTGTCTTCTACTCACGTAAAAAATTAAAAGGAGGAAATTAGCTTGCTTCAATTTCTAGGGCAAACCACCTGTTCCCTGGACTTTGATGAACAACAGAATATTTCACACATGAATGCTTTCCAGGGTCTGCTTATTAAAGCACATCCTTCGACCACAAACAAGGACGACTGGCAGCCAAGAGCCTCGAACACCGAGGCAGGGGACTGGCTCCTTCACTCTCCCACCCTTAGATGAAGGCGCATACTCTTCGGTGAAATACAGAAGTCATCCAAGTCTTGACTCAGCTTCATTTTGATGAAGTAACTGAAGACCAGACACATTAAATAACTTGAAGCCTAAAAATAGGACTTAAGGTGACAACCAACACCCTAACACAAGGCAGGCTGAGGCTGAGCAGAAGAGACCTTGGAGGTCCTGGTGGAGAGGACGAAGAGGAGGTGGCTGACCACATCCCAGGCAGCCAACAGGTCCAGGGAAACGATCCTTCCCCTCTAACCCGCAAGCTGGGAGACAACATCCTGAGCACCCTGTCCAGGTCAAGACATGGACGCACTGGAACAAGCGCAGAGGAGGCCACCAAGATGGTGGGAGGGCTGGAGCAGGTGCCATGCAAGCAGAGGCTGGGGGAGCTGGGTTTGGCCAGCCTGGAGAAGGTAAGGTGAAGGGGAGATCTAATTTCTATCTTCAACTGACTGCTGGGAAGTTATAGAGAAGATGAAAGCAAACTCTTCTTAGAGATGCAGAGCAAAAGACCATGAGCGCAAAGGTATAAGTTGCACCAAAAGAAATTCCTCTTGGTCACAAGTGAAAACAAATTCCCCATACAATCAGCCAAGTGCCCAGAGAGGCTGTGGGACACCATCCTCAGAGGCACACAAAGCTTGGCTGGACACAGTCCTGAACAACCCAGCCTAACTGTGAAGTTGGCCCTGGTTTGAGCAGAGGGTGGGACAAGAGGTCCTTTCCAACCTCAGTTGCTCCATGACATCATCAGCTATGATGCCATGGCTTGCTTACACTCCTGGATCTCTTGCAATGGGTCCATGCTGGATGCACATCCACACCTTCCGACACCGGTACTCCTCTACAACACAGAGAAGCAGACACCCTCTTCTGCATGGCACTGTACTATGATGGGATGGATTTTGACAAGAGTATAAGGAAAGCTCAAAGAAATTTAAGTTAGGAATGCAAATGTGGCAAGCCCTCTGCCAAAGCATTTCATACTGGTCAATGAATAGAAAATTTGCACTGCAGAAGTTAGACTTTTTTTTTCCCCTCCACCAGCAGTGCTGGAAAGATCTCGACAGCTGCATCAAAGCAAAAGAAGCAGCACTAATAGGAGACAAAATAATGCTTGCAATTGTTGGGAGATTTCACACTCAACTGCCTGCCCTGCTGTTGGGCAGGGTTAGACAAATGTTTTCCCTGATTGTTATGTAAGACTGCATTTTGCTCAGGCGGTGTGAAGATTTCACTGAACACTCAACTGCCTGCCCTGCTCTTGGGCAGGGTTAGACAAATGTTTTCCCTGATTGTTATGTAAGACTGCATTTTGCTCAGGCGGTGTGAGAGCTGCAAACTTAATACAAAATATGCTTTTTTTACAACACTGCCAAGGTATTTCCTGCAGAGTTATTACAATGGATGTATGCAACTGCCAAACTCACAGGCTATTTTAAAGTCACCTGATCTCTGTGGCATTAATGGACACTTGCAAAGCTCTCCAGAACTCCAGTTCCAATGTCTAAGAAAATTGTTACCAATTCATATTCAAATTTTCAAACAAGCTTTAAAAAAACCTATTTAAAGCTCTGTGCATGTGTGTGAGTATCAGTGGGTGGTTGTTCCCTAAAAGCACTGGAACAGTCAGGGACTCAGCAATCTGGGAGGGAAACTACTGACTTGCACAGAAATTGCAAGACATTCAAGAAATTCTAGATATTGCACAGAAATCAACCTGCGAGGAAAGAGAAGAAATCGCTGAAGAGGCAGGGAGATCTTACTGCAATGGAGAAAGATTTAGCACTTGGAAGATCAACAAGATGAATTTCTGAAGTGCTCTACAAGATGAAAAAAAAACCAACCTAAAATTTTCATTTTGGGTTGATACAATTATGAAGAGTTAACTGACTAATCATTCTTTAAATTAAACTGAAGTCATGGGTGTTGCCATGTAGTTAAAGTCTATTAATCAAAATGAAAATAATTACAGAAGTATGTTTTCCACAGAGGTTTATGCCACCATTAGGTTCAATTTTTCAGTCTTTAATCTTTGAATTGAACCAAAGAGTTTCCAAAACCCAGATGGCACAAGCATGCTAAACGCTATCTTGGAAGAATTCCCTTCACACATCCCTAAGCTCTCAAACAAACAGAAAACCCAGTATAAGCTCTTCAAAATGTGTCTAATCTAAATGAGCTGTGAATCGCATCATGATGGTCAGAGATGTTGGTGTGGAAGGTGCACAGAAGTCTGGCTGATGCAGTTAATACCCTCTCTCTGCTGAATTGCAAAGTGTTGGAAGCATGGCATTGTCTGTGCATGGCGATAGCTCAAGGGGGAAAGTTTTTAAGCTGAAAGAGGGAAGATTTAGCTGAGATATTAGGAAAAAATGTTTTCCTGTGTGGGGGGTGAGGCAGTGGCCCAGGTTGCCCAGAGAAGCTGTGGATGCCCCATCCCTGGAGGGGTTCAAGGCCAGGCTGGATGAGGCTTTGGGCAACCTGGGCTGGTGGGAGGTGTCCCTGCCCATGGCAGGGGGTGGCACTGGATGGGCTTTAAGGTCCCTTCCAACCCAAACCATTCTGTTATGATTCAATGATGATGATGATGAAACACGGACCATGTCCTACAACCCTCACCTGAGCTCCAGGGGATTTTCACACACAGGAACAAGAGAGCAGGATCACAGACTATATTTGCTACAACATATTTTTTCAGCTGCTGGGACTACACAGCTTGCTGATTTCGTTCGTTAATTAGCTGCCTTTGTCTTCAGATGTTCAAAGCAAGCGATGCTTGGAAGACAGGATAATAATAAAACCCACATCTGGGAAATTGATTGAAACTGCTTCAGCAAGACATCCAGCGAGGAGACAGCAGTGACGCATATATTTAGCCTGCATAACTCATAAGTTATTCTTAAATATAAAAGTACAATGCTTTTCATGCTCTATTTTCCATACTATAGCCTCCTTGACGTAGCACAAGTTCTCAATAATCACACAGATTTGACGTGCTTTGTGGTACCGTATGATATAAAGCAGTTACACAGGATTCAGAAAATGAACAAAAATTCAACAAGTATCTATTTCTTGCATACCT